CACCCCTCACACGTTTCGTGGCCCCACAGGGAGCTCCACCGAAGGCCCCAGTGCTGCCGTCCGCATGCGTCCCGCACACCCATTTCGGCACACCCCTCACACGTTTCGTGGCCCCATAGGGAGCTCCACCGAAGGCCCCATGCGGCACACCCCTCACACGTTTCGTGGCCCCACAGGGAGCTCCACCGAAGGCCCCAGTGCTGCCGTCCGCATGCGTCCCGCACACCCATTTCGGCACACCCCTCACACGTTTCGTGGCCCCATAGGGAGCTCCACCGAAGGCCCCATGGCTGCCGTCCGCATGCGTCCCGCACACCCATTTCGGCACACCCCTCACACGTTTCGTGGCCCCACAGGGAGCTCCACCGAAGGCCCCAGTGCTGCCGTCCGCATGCGTCCCGCACACCCATTTCGGCACACCCCTCACACGTTTCGTGGCCCCATAGGGAGCTCCACCGAAGGCCCCATGCTGCCGTCCGCATGCGTCCCGCACACCCATTTCGGCACACCCCTCACACGTTTCGTGGCCCCACAGGGAGCTCCACCGAAGGCCCCAGTGCTGCCGTCCGCATGCGTCCCGCACACCCATTTCGGCACACCCCTCACACGTTTCGTGGCCCCACAGGGAGCTCCACCGAAGGCCCCATGCTGCCGTCCGCATGCGTCCCGCACACCCATTTCGGCACACCCCTCACACGTTTCGTGGCCCCACAGGGAGCTCCACCGAAGGCCCCAGTGCTGCCGTCCGCATGCGTCCCGCACACCCATTTCGGCACACCCCTCACACGTTTCGTGGCCCCATAGGGAGCTCCACCGAAGGCCCCATGGCTGCCGTCCGCATGCGTCCCGCACACCCATTTCGGCACACCCCTCACACGTTTCGTGGCCCCACAGGGAGCTCCACCGAAGGCCCCAGTGCTGCCGTCCGCATGCGTCCCGCACACCCATTTCGGCACACCCCTCACACGTTTCGTGGCCCCATAGGGAGCTCCACCGAAGGCCCCATGGCTGCCGTCCGCATGCGTCCCGCACACCCATTTCGGCACACCCCTCACACGTTTCGTGGCCCCACAGGGAGCTCCACCGAAGGCCCCAGTGCTGCCGTCCGCATGCGTCCCGCACACCAGGTGTGTGGCGTGCCGACATGGGCGTCGCGGCGCGCGGGCGCTGCCGTCGGGGTTCCCAGGGAAGCCCCCTGCAGAGGCGACGCTCAGAGTCACGAGCACCGAGAGTCACGCAGACCCAAACTGCTCACAGTCGTATACATACATTCACACTGGGCGTATCCATGCACGCATTCATGCGAATAGAATCAACCGCGCGCAGATTCATTCATAATCAGACTCGCTCGCGATCCGACTCGCACGCGCTCAAGCTTTCATATTCGGACCTATCGTCTTCGTTCGTGTTGTGTACAATGCCACGCATTTCGGCACACCCCTCATACAGCTCGTGGCCCCATAGGGAGCGTCACCGAAGAAGATATTCACAATTGCGGTACTCTCAACTGCATATGGTTGGGTCCTTCGCCAGGCTATTTTTTTTGCGTATCCTTTTTGGACCTGCGCAAACGACGGGGTCAGGTTAAGTGAGGGGGAAGCGATAACCAGGGTTATCGGCGGACGCAAGAAAACAATTGCCTTGTTGGGCCGTCCAGTGGCCATCCTGGAAAGTCTTGGACCCTCTTGGAACATCTGTGGAGGTATCGTTGCACTTCTAACGCTCCTCGTGGTCATTTTTGCAGCGTCCAGTGGCGTTTTGTCCCCCCTCTCGAGCGATCCATGGGCCAACCTAGCTGCTCCCAGCCAGGGGGGTGCTCTCCTCGTGCATGCCCCTGGGTGGCTCGAACGAAGACGGCCCAGGGAAGCCCTCAGACGCAAGTCGGGCGTGCCCCGCTGCAGGAGGAGTAATCAAAGATTGTAAAAAATAGTCTGGGACGATTTGCTTGAGTATGTTTTGATCATTCCCAACCATCCTGTGGTGTTGGGTCCTCGTTTTGAAGAGACGGTGCCCCGCGTTCCTCCCGCTCCTCCTCCCCCTCCTCCCCTCCTCCCCCCTGTGCCCGCATGCGTCCCGCACACCCATTTCGGCACACCCCTCAAACGCTTCGTGGCCCCATAGGGAGCTCTACCGAAGGTCCCAGTGGGTGTGCCAGCATGCGTCCCGCACACCCATTTCGGTACACCCTTCACACGTTTCGTGGCCCCATAGGGGGCTCCACCGAAGGT